GTACCTTAATAAGATGAAGCATTGGATGACTTACAGAAATCTTAAAATAAGATAATTATACTAAGATTTATTAGAGATGTTTCAGGGATGGACAAATAGGTTAAGGATATGAAGAATTCTAAAATTTTTGGTATGAAACTATGTTTGTATTTTTGAAATATATTTAAATATCTTTAAATTAAATTCAGATAAATTTTATTATTTTGAAAAGATCATTTTGTTATAAAGTATAAGTCTTTATTATAATTTTACCTAATTTGGGTAAAGCTGAATATGTAATAGCCAGAGTGATATTGAAAATTGACTATACAATTTTTGATAATTTTTCAATAATATTACTCTGAGTATTCTCAGAATATAAAAAAGGAGAGATGATTTAAACAATTAAAACTTCGAGAAAAGACTCTAGGATTGAATAAATGAATCTTTAATGAAATGTAAGAATAAAATAAGTATGTATTCATAAAGCCATCATGACAACTTTTTTAATAGCCCCTTTAGAAATTTGAGTGAGTTTTTCTAGCATTCTGATTTACATAGCAGCTTAACTAGAGAAAATATCTGATGTTTCTCTTAAGAGCATAGTAGCATCTACTTCAGCTTATGCAGATTTAATTTTAGCCTCAGTCATTTTTTTGTCGTTCCTGCCAATGCCAATGCTTAACTTAAATCATCACTTATCCTATAATCTTTAATCATATATTCCTTATAATTTTATATAATTAATTTACCCCATTCATTCACAATTGCTTATACTAATTCAGCAATCTCATTAGATATTTAAATACGATCTACTAATAATTCTTATATGTAAGCATCACTGATTAAGTTACTTCATGCATTGCTCCTTCTAAATTATTCAATCTGTATATGCATTTTATTGGATCCACTATACTATAATATAAAACTGTATCAATTTCAGATGTTATGTTATCTTTTGTTAAAATAACTGATCTATTAACTTATCAAGAACTTAAATTTATATAATAATTTACTGTGACTTCATATCCACCATTGTTATTTAACCTTAACATCTATTTTTATGTATTTAAGTTACAGATTTACAAATTGTATACCAGCAGGTAATTGTTTTTCAAAACGTCCAAATTCTTAAAACAATCCAATATACCTTAGCTTTCTAGTTCATAAGGATAGGGAAAACAACAACATAGTATCCAAGCTTTACAAGTTCAAAAACAATTACCACAAAAATTCAAACAATTTTCATATGCTGTTTTTTTCGATCTACCTGTAATTAGCTAATCTCTTGATTATTGTAAAGATATTTCTGTTTGCATTTTTAGATTTATATATTACTTTTAGAAATTAATTACACATTCTATAATTATTAAGAATCACTATCTCATTTATAATTTTTTATTTGTATTCTATAAATTAATACATTTTAATCAATTATATTAAATTATCATTCAATTTTAAAATACTAATATGAAAGAATTAAAAATTCAATTTTACTTTTATATTTTTATATGATTAATTACTCTTAAAACATAAAGCAATAAATTCATACTCAAACTTAATAAAATATTATTGAAGAAGACATTTGTTTTGACAGATATGGAGATCTTACATTGACATAATAATAATAATAAAATACAAATAGAAATTGGATTAAAGTGTGTCATATTGATTAATCAACTGTTGGAAATAATATTTTGCTTAGAGCTAGAATCCATAATTCAAGAATCTAAGGAAAAATTGCTTTTCTTATTCTAAGAGAAAATTGGTATACAATATAAGCCGTTTCTATAAAAGGAGATTCTGCTAGTTCACAAATGCTTAAATTCATAGGAGGAATCCCTCTAGAATCTATAGTTGATGTAGAAGCAGTTGTTGCTGAACCCAATTTTTAAATTAAGTATTGTACATAAAAGGTAGAATTACAAATAAAAACTATTCGAGTTATAAGTAGATCTGCTTCTAAACTTCCAATTTAAATAGAAGATGCTTCGAAAAAAATTGTAGATTTTAATTAAAATTTAGAATATTAATATCAAAATAATTAACTATCCTTAAATTAAAGATTAAATAATAGAGTTCTTGATTTAAGAACTCCTGCTAAATAAGCTATATTTAGAGTTTCATCTGGAATATCATTATTTTTTAGGTAGTTTTTGA